AACATAGCTACCTGACTGGGCCTGCAACTCCTAGTTTAACAACCAACAATAGCGAAATGTTCACCTGACTTCATTTTCACCAATCTACATATTACAGATGCATTTTCCTTGGCAGTATTGCTGGGAGTGTCCATGACACTATCCTTGTAGGGACCTAGTCCTATATTGTGTGTCACTACCACCATGCTAAATAGGACAGGATCAGAACAGAATTCATGGCTCATAACTGGATATTCATGAGGCACTCTGGTTCACCAGCAAAACTGTATTCATCCACCAACTATGACCTCCGACCTGGTGTAGTCCTTACTTTTATTGTTGCCATCAAATTGGGGGAACGATCCTTCATTCAGTGAAGTGTGTGGAAAAGTGATGGGAGCAGCACTGGACCCATCTCAAAATGAGACTTTAAATTTGTGAAACTAGACTGCAGGGTTACACATATGCTAACCAGCTGAAACAGTATAAAATAGACAGAGAAAAGCCAAGTATTTAGCCAATCAAAAGATCAGACCAGACTGCTGCATGCTTACTACAATCATTCATGAGTGGGAAGATGACATGTTTCTTGACTTTTCGATGACAGGGCCCAACATAAGTGTAACAAGAGAAGTTTGAAATATTTGCAGCCATCTTCTGGAATCGTTCTGTGAAAATGATCTATCTCTGCCTCTTGAAGACCCCACCAACACAGATACAAATCTTAATTCAATTTGCTATCTCTGGTATTTGGACTGTTCAGGAGTTGAGGGATATGGGGAGTGGGGCCAAGTGAAGCAGATAAACCATGAGTATATTGAATAGCGGAGAAGTATTTAGGATGACCGTATACTCTACTCCACTTATTCCATATGTTCTTATATCGAGGAAAAGCCACAGGCCCCAATAACCTACCAGGCTGAGGTCTTTAGCTCCATAACTAGTCATATCTCTGGACAAGTTGCACCAGGACAGCATCAGTTCTGGCATCTACCTAATAAAGTGGAAAATTGCCCAGGTATGATATGTCCAGATAAAATAGGAAAATCCATCAATCGAGGAACACAGGAACAGGAGTAGATCATTTAGCCCCTTAAGCCTGGCAAATTACAACAGTATTAGGCAGGAACTCATTAGCGTTGGCTGTTTGAGGGTAAATGAGCATCTGACATGTGGGACTCTTTAAAGCCCAGTTGATCAGAGTTCAGGACCAGTATATTCCTATGAGCATGAATGGTGAGCATGGTAATATTCAGGAACCTTGGATGACAAGAAATGTTGAAAGTTTAGTCAAAAAGAGAAAGGAAGCATATGTATGGTTTAGGAAACTGAAATCAGACAAGGCCCTTGAGGAATATAAAGGAAGCTAGAATGAACTTAAAAAAAAAAAAAAAAAAATTAGGAGGACTAAATTCGGCCATGCTATGTCCTGGCAAGTAGGATTAAGGAGAATCCCAAGGCATTTTATATGTATATTAGGAACAAGAGGGTAGCTAGTGAAAAGATAGGTTCACTGAAGGACAAAGGAGTGAATTTATGCATGTAGCCGGAAGTAGTAGGTGAGGTCCTTAATGAATACTTCACGATGGTATTCACCAAGGAGAAGGACATAGGTCATAAGATTAAGGAGGGGTATGTTGATATTCTAGGGCATTTTTATATTAAGGAGGTGGCAGTCCAGAATGGATAACCGCACACTTAGTTACATTGGACTCTATCTGCCGCAGTTTTGTCCTTTCACCCAGTCTGTTAATATCCCTTTGTAATTTTATGCTATCATCTACACTGTCACAATGTCACCTAAATTTGAATATATCACTTCCTATGCTATTATCTAAATCATTAATAAAAAATATGAATAACTGAGGACCTAACACACATCCTTGTAGGGGGACACTGGCCATATCCTGCCAATTTGAGGTACTTACCTATCATCCCTACTTTCTGTTGCCTGCTGCTCAACCAATTTCCCAACTATGTCAGTAATTTTTCTTCAGTTCTGTAGGCCCCCACCTTAGTAGTCTCTTAAGTGGAATTTTATCAGATGCCTTCTGGAAGACTATAAACAACAACTATAGATATTCCCTGCCCATTACCTTAGTCACCTTATCAAAAAATTCAATGAGATTTGTCAGGTACAACTTACCTGCCATGATTACATAGTCGTCTCTCTGATTAAGTGAAAATTTTTTAGGTGTTTAGTTTACCTACCCTTTATTATAGACTCAGAGGATTTTCCCCAACACAGAGGTTAGGCTACCTGGTCTGTAATTCCCTGGTTTTCCTTTTTCACCCTTCTAAAGCGGGGTGATTTGTAATGTTCCAATTCAGAGGAATGACACCTCTACCTCAGAAACTCTGATTATAGTTAGCACAACTATAAGGTGCTCCCCTTCTTTCTTTAATGCCCTTGGATGGAAACTGTTAGGTCCTGGGGATTTGTCACTTTTTAGTTCCAGTAATTTTCCCATTATCGATGTTTTACTTACATTTTGTTCAGTCGCTGTCCCTGATCCACTATTAATTTCCTTGGCACTTCCAGCCAGCTATCCTTCTTTATACTGTAAATACAGAGGGAAAGTAACTATTCAACAGGTCTGGCATCTCCCTATAGTCATTAACAATCTCCCCACTTTTAGTCTTTAGAGGACCAGCATTGCTCCTGACTAGTTGGTTTTCCGTTTACGTAACTACAAAATTTTTCTTATTGATTTTGATGTCCCTTTCAACTTTCCTTTCAAAGTCCCTTTTAGTAGCTCTTATAAGCTGCTTAGTGGCCCTTTGCTCATCTTTGTATCTTTCCCATTCTGCGGATCCGTTTCTTTTTCATTTTTGTAAGCTCTTTCTTTTAGTCTTATGCTGTATCTTAGCTCTGTAGTTGTCCATGGCTGTTTTTTCTGTGAAATGGTGATTTAAAAACTGGTTCTATGTTGTGTCAAATGTTTCCTTAAACGTTCTGCACTGTTCTTTAGTCATCTGCTCAGGAGCAAATTTTCCCTGTTTACTGTGGGCAGAATCTGTCTCATCTCCTTAAAAGTTGGCCATGCCTAAATGTAAAATTCTGGTAACTTTTCACTTGCAAAGCTGCATTGAACTCAATCATGTTATGATCACTATTTGATAATTCTTCACGTACAATTAGGTCATTACTTAAATCTGGCAGATTTATCATTACTAAATTCAATGTTGCTTGTCCCCTTATTTTACCCAGAATGTATTGCCATAGGAAACTACCCCGGATGCACTCCAGAACTTTTCTACCTTTTTGTGACAGGTGCTTGTCTGCCTCTCCAACTCTATATTAATGTTAAAATCTCCCATTAATACTGCTGTGCTTTTGCTATTCGTTTAATCGACACACAACTCTTAATTGACAACACTATCAGTGACACTTTCATTAGCAACTGGAAATTACTTGCCAATAATTGCTCACCAAACGTAGCCTGGGTTCTGCCAAGGCTTCTGTTCTGCAGACCTCATAATGGCCTTGTCCAGTGTGGTGTAGTATCGATGATTGTGTAGAGCTCCCCATATTAACATCCGCGGTCATCAATGTATATATTATATCTACAAGTGGCAGTCGAAGGTTGGCATTCTGCAGGAGTGATTCAAATTCTGACTGGTCAGACTTTTACTCTATTCACAAGTCAGTAGTGTGATGGAATAGTATTCATCTGTCTGGATGTCTGGCTCAAACAATACTCAAGCAGCTGAACACCATCCAGAACAAAGCAGTACTTGATTCGTTGTGCATCTTCAAACATTCACTCCCTCCTTCAATGGAGCACGGTGCTGGTCGTCTGGACCATCTACAAGATGCACTGCAGCAAGTCATCAACGCTTTTCACCAGCAACTTCCAAAGTCATAATTTCCACACTGATGACTTACCACCTTTTAAAACATGGGTCACGGGCACAAGCGAGCACCACAAGCTTGCTTGTTCCCTTCAGAGTGTCTCAGAATCTTAAATTGGAAAGGCCAAAATCTTGAAACTCCCTACCCAATATACTGTTGACATATCTGAGGGCACTAGTCAGACACCACCGAGAAAACTGTGAACAGTTTTGGTCCCCCTTTCTATAGAAAGATATGCTGGCGTTGGAAGCCATTTCAAAGAAGGTTCATTCAGCTGATATCAAGTATGGAAGGATTTTCTTATAAGGAGACGTCAAGCAGGTTGGGCGTGTACTCATTGGCGTTTAGAAGAATGAGAGACTTTATTGAAACACGAGATGCTCAGCGGCCTTTATGGGTAAATGTGGAGAATTGTTTCCCCTTGTGGGAGAGTGTAGAATCAGAGGGCATAATCTCAATAAGGGTTACACATTGAAGGCAAAGATGTGAGGAATTTCTCAGCCCTTTAGTGAATCTGTGGAAAAGGACTGTAGAGGCTGGATCAGTAAGTATATTCAAGGCTGAGATAGACAGATTTTTGATTACTAAGAGAATCAAGAGTTATGTGGAAAGGCAGGAAGGTGGAGTTGAAGATTATCAGATCAGCCGTGATCTTGTTGAAAAGTGGAGAAGACTCGATGGGCTGAACGGCCTACTTCTACTGCTATGCCCTGTGACTTATTCTCTAACTACACCAACCAAACTGCAGCAGTTCAAGAAGGGAGAGAACCACCACTTCCGCAGTGCCAATTAGAGATGGTAAAATCTAGCCTTGCTACTGAAATAGAAATTTTAAAAAAAGTACCAACAGCAGTTGTTCAGAGATCTACAAATAGTTACCACATTCAAAGGACGAGAAACTTTAATGTAACAAAACAATATTCATCAACACCCATTCCATGACCATTTCTCAGGTGCCTCTTGGGGAGGAAGAGGACAGCAGGGGGATCTACTGTCACTGCTCTGAAATCAGCACTAAGTAATATGCTACGTGTCATCACTTGCATGGATAATTGCAGCTTCCAACCTATATCTTATTTACTATCTGCAATTTGTGATATTGATATTAAATGTTTAATCGTGAAGGTAAGATTTTAGTGATCGCTGTATGGTTGTTTCGTTACAGTGGATATGACTTTGGCTACTTGATCAAAATACTTACTAATTCCAACTTGCCTGAAGAAGAACCAGACTTCTTTGAGATCCTACGATTGTTCTTCCCTGTAATTTATGATGTGAAATACCTCATGAAAAGCTGCAAAAATCTCAAGGTATTGCTGTAATTTTTCTAAAACTGAACTATGAGAATTTTTTTTATGTTTAAAGGTTTTCATTACTAGCACAAATAGTGAACTTTATTTATGAAGAATTATTTTGTGGGCTACTGAATGTTTGAAGGGTGTGGCCACTGAGAAATTGATTTAGAAATTTATACTGAACAATGTACATACCTAATCTTAATCTATGTTAGGTTCATTAGTATATTCAGTACACCAAAAATACCCTTGTTACTAAATGAGTGTACTCTTGTAATTTTGAAAAGTAAATGAAGTCACTAGGAGCAATCAGCTGTTTCATCGATCACCTTCCCTCCATCATAAGGTCAGAAGTGGGGATGGTTGCCAACAATTGCACAGTGTTCAGCACCGTTTGCAACTCCTGCAAAGCTGAAGCAGTCTGTGTCCAAATGCAGCAAGATCTGACAATACTTGGCCTTGGACTGACAAGTGGCAAGTAACATTCCAATCACACAAGTGCCAGGCCATGACTATCTCCAGTCAGAGATAACCTAATCACCTTGACATTCAATGGTGTTACCATCACTGAATCCCCCACCCACAACACCCTCGGGGTTCCAATTGACCAGAAACTCAACTGGACTCATCACGCAAAAACAGTGACTACAAGAGCAGGTCAGAGGCTAGAAATGCTGCAGCAACTAAGTCACCTCCTGATTCCGCAAAGGCTGTCCGCCATCTACAAGGCACAAGTCAGAAATGTGGTGGAATAATCCCCACTTGCCTGGATGGGTGCAGTTCCAACAACAGTCAAGAAGCTTGACACCATCCAGGACAAAGCCTGCTTGATTGGAACAGCATCCCTCCACAACCCCTGATGCTCAGTCTGCAGTACCTACAAGATGCACTGCAGAAATTCACCAAAGATCCTCAGGCAGCATCTTGGGCAACAAGTAAATGAGAATTATACCACCTGCAAGTTCCCCTCCAAGCCACTCACTGTTCTGACTTGGAAATATATCACCGTTCCTTCACTGTTGCTGGGTCAAAATCCTGGAATTCCCTTCCTAATGTCATTATGGGTTAACCCACAGCATGTGGACTGTGGCGGTTCAAGGAGGCAGCTCGCCACCATGTCCTCAAGGGCAGTAAAGGGCAGGCAACAAAATGCTGGCCAGCCAGTGATTCTGACAAGTGAATAAAAGAAAATATTTTCACTCTTTCTTGGGATGTGGACCTTGCTTGTTTGCACTAGCCATTATTGCCTATTCCTAATTGTTCTTGAGAAAGTGGTGGTGAACTACCTTCTTGAACCATTGCAGTCCATTTGATGTGGATATGCCAAAACCTCAAGTTAAATACATTATTTTTACACTTGCCTAAATATTTCAGCCATGTGAGTCTTTAGCATCAGAAATTAATGATGGAGCTAATGTGAACACTTGACAAATTACAGCTGAAGTAAAAAGTTGTGTATTTGGAAACCACAAATGAAACCAGAAATCTCTAGCAATGAAATATATAACTGATGCCGTCTGATGAGAGAGGGCTACAGGTATTAATCTTTTTTTTAATTTACTGAAAAATGTGCAATATTATTGCAGCATGTTCAGTAATTGAGTTTTGTGGTTTAAAAGAGAGAATCCTGAGATATTGAGTGATTAGAATTAGGGATATAACATCAAGTAAGAGCATACACATCTGTAATCTTTAATGTGGAAAACTGACGTGGCTAATGAGTGTATGTGGGCAATTAATTAGATTATATATTTTTTTCTAACTAAAGCTAGTATCAAATGCTACTCATTCTAGAAAGGATTTTACTCCAGATTTCCTGTTGGGAAGGATATTTTTGAGAGTATACTTATTTTCCCTGAATAGGTACGGTCCATTGCAGCTAAGATGCCATTTAGGTTCATCATTTACTGCCATGTCTGTATATGTCATTTTTATTATAAAACTGGTCAGAAAGAACAATGTGTAGCTGATATTCTTAAACTGTCCTAGTTTTAATTTGTTTTGCAAATAAATTTTTGTTCATTTCCCCTAATTCCCTACACATTTTCTATGGCTCTCTGCATATCATTTTCTAAAATTTATAGTGTTATTTTAATAGCTTGAATGAGTTGAGTCTGTAGTGGTACCATTTTAAGAGTTTTCTTTTACTCTTGTCAGCTTGGCTAGATTATTTGATTGCTACTGTAGCAATGGAATTATTCTGCATGGAATTATTCAAATTTTATTTTCCCAATTTCCCTTTAAATACAGTGTATGTTATATGAATAAAATATATCTAAATAAAATCTGTTTACACAGGGCGGCTTGCAAGAAGTAGCTGAACAGTTAGAGTTGGAGCGAATTGGGCCACAACATCAAGCAGGTTCAGACTCCCTATTAACAGGAATGGCCTTTTTCAAAATGCGAGAGGTATGTATTTAAAGTCAAAACATTTAAAAGTTAAATCTGTTTGTTTTCTTTTGTGGTACTTTTCAGAGTGAAACACATCATCGCTGAGTGGTTAACATTGCTATTATCTTACATTATCTTCCAAATAGCAGAAGTTACTGTTCACTTATGAAGTCATTGAATGGTTCCAGCATAAAGGGAGGCTATTTAACCCACATTTTAGTGTCAAATTTCTGCAAAACTCTTGCCATTTTTCAGAAGTCCTACAATGTTTTTCTGTGCCAACAATTCTCCAATTCCCTTTTGAAGACCTTAATTGAATCTGTTTCCACCATACTCTCAAGTGTTGTTATTCCAAATACAAAGAATAAATATTCATGTTATATATTATAGAAAAGGGCAGCCTTGTCAAAACTTTTCATCTTGCACTTATAAGGTTACGTGTAAGATTACCAAATTTCAAAGGATTACAACAATTTATATGATGGGAAAAGAGGGTGCTGGCTTAATAGCAAGTCAACTATGATTTGCCCAGAGAAAGCAACTGTGGCTCCCCAAGCTCGTGGGTTAATTTTAGAAGAAAAAAAGTACCAAGCTTCAACAAGTTCCTTTTCTTTTTTGCAGAAATCAGGTCCTTGTGCATAAATATATCACCCTTCATGTTATGAACTCAACTGGGTTGTCTTAAATTGGTTATTGGTGCAGTTAACAGTCACAATTGTTAAGTAAATGCTTCCCAAAATAACATTTTAAGACTAGGCATTTTGCTTATGGTTTTGTAACTACATGCTGGTTGAGTATGTTCTGTACTCTGCCTATTACAAGCAACCAGAGAACGTGCTGTTGATTTGATCAACAATTTGGACATATGGCCTGTGTATCTACCATTGCGCCAATACTGAAATTCACTCACACTGCTGCTAAGGTGTGTGATAGGCAGGATGTTTTTATGGAATGGTGGTGCCATTCTGTCGGTGAAAAATACCATCCTTGAAGCCACGTGTGTCTATGTGAATGGTATTTTCCACCAACGGAATGCAAATATCAGTCCAA